TCACACGGGACCGCGGTCGAAGCCGCTGACTGACAGAAGCTAGTGTAGAATAAATTGTGCAGTCTTTTGTACTTATTTGGTTATATGAACCAAAATGTTTGGGTTGTGAGAAATTACTGGGATATAACTGCATTGTTTGCAATATTACAACGGGTAGTAGCCAGGGTATGGAAATTAAAAATCTAATTAGTCCATCAGTTAGATAATGAAAAAATATTAGACACGTATTTTTTTATTTGCTCGTATAAAGTTACAATACTTAGATAAAATGTCGTTAAGTTTAGGAGTGGTAGGTCGTTACGTCACAACGTGCCACAAAATATAGCAAGCTGTGACGTCACACGATATTTCAAATTAATATATCATCGAAAGTAAAGAAAAAATACGTGCTCGTGTGTTAAAAATGTGTGTCTTTGGTTAAGGGTACATTGCATCGCAATAATATAATATATACTTACAATAAACAATAGACAACAAGCTACACACTGAACATTAATCTATTCTCTTATAGTAGGAAAATAATGCTAAAAGAAAAGGTGGATGGCATTTACCATGTGATCTCCCATGAGGTCATTCGCAAGGAATGGCTGAATGAAGCCATGTAGTAAGTAGGATTAGGAATGGTGTTGAAAAAGAGGTAAAGAAATACTATCCGCGTATGGTATGTAATTATAAAAACTATCATGGTACTTAGATATGTTTTTATGGAATAAGCCGGTTAACGAGCAGACGGATCACCTGATGCTAAGCGATCGGCGTCACCCATGGACACACGGAACACCAGAGCCGTTACAATACAAATGTGTTACCGAACCTCTGGGGATTACAATTTGAGAATTGGGATGATTTGGGGAGGGGAGAGCGGTAATTGGGCCTCCAGTAACCTCACTCACACGACGAAACACAACGCAAGCGTTGCTTCAAGTCGGTTCTTTGTAAGGCCGTGATATCACTCCGGTCGAGCCGACCCCGCAATGCCAAAGCATGGCTCTCCCACACTTAAAATATTTCTTGAGGTTTGGTAAGGTGAGATTTCGCCTGATATGTTTCTGAAGGAAACAAACACAGAGATCTCGACTATAACACAAGGTTAGAAATCTGAAACCTTTATCAATTAATTAAACAATGGGTTCAAATTCAAACGACAGCATTACTTTCCCCGAACCTAACAGTACAGACCTACTATTGTCTGTCTTCTTTAACGAAAAACCATTGACAAAAAGAAACAACACTAAACTTAGACTACCTTAAATAATTCGAAGCAACTACCAAGATTAGGCACTCAGCACACACGTATTTATTTCACTTATCAATAAGAAATTACATATAAATCAAAACGACTATGTAACAATTTATTTACTACTAAAGGTATATAGGTAGTTGGATTATCAGATAAGCAGCTAACAGAAATTATGTCGTCGATTGAGCAAGAATGAATAAGGAAAAGTTTGTGATTGCGATAGTTGTGATTAAAATGTAAGTAACTATCTGTGTTTGTCGATAATGTAGCTACTGTTGATAATCTAATAAACACATGGACAAACATGTTATACATCTACTTTCATTGTTACATCATTTAAACTCTTTAGAAATGGACTTGGATTTATTACTTTTTTTGGGATTAGCCCTCCACAACCTCCTAAAACCGCGGCAGCTCCTGCGAGCCAGTATCTACAGTAGATACAACTGTGAAAACACAGACAGACATGTGAGCTTACTCTTGAATCCAATTCCGATTGATCGACATTGACATTGTGAAATTTCGTACTCTTGAGTTGTAACACTAGCGCCGTTTGCATCCGTATTGCGTGGATATTTCATGAACTAAATGGTATTAAGTTTGGTTTTATATTGCGTACTCTAAATGCTACTTTAGCAGTTACGATAGGGGTTGTATAGTTTTGACATTGGATAATTATTGAGATTTTATTGGATTGAAATTGCATTGACATTGAGATTGGTTTCAAGAGTAAGCACCATGAAATCCGTCTTGGATCCCGTAACGAATAAGCAGAACAAAGATAGTCTTCATATTTTGTGGAAGATTTCACCCTATCTACCTAATATTGAGCACACAAACATAATTGTGTATGAAAGAAGCTAATAAAACCGAAGAAATAATTTGGTTCTATTTGGGTTTAAACATAAATTCAGACCGTAGGTCTATCAGATACGCAGAAACAACTGAACAGATTGTGGTGAATTTTTAAAAATAAATAGAAGAGCATATGGATTGTAACTTGACACATATTCTCATGATGTATTAATATTCCTCATCTGTGTGAGAAGAGGCTTTTTCCCTGTAGTGGGGCAGTAACATGCTGATGCTGGTGACCTCTCCGTAGCCATGGTCCAAGACTTCGAACATTTCCATTCGGTTCACACAGACCATTTGGTCCAAGATAGATCAAAGTCTTGGTCCAAGATTAAATCTTGCGTAACGTAACGGTATGATCTTTATTTATCTAGTACCATTAAGTCCCTCGATAACCTCGGTAAGTCGTCGTTTGTTAACACATCTTTATGTGGGGTTAACATAATTAAATTATGTTCTATATCAAACCGGATTCAATCGGATTGATTTATGACTTTTTAAACTAGAATTCTGACTATTTCCTTGTAGGCTATTAAGGCTTTTAGTACATGAATCTTCCTGTTTTTATCTCAATTTACTTAGTGTCACCACAATATTGATAAAGGAATATCCTGATCTGATGACTTAACTCCTACGTGATCTCCTAAACATTCAAGCTTCCCTGTGCGTACTGCTAAGGAGTGGAATTCTTTGCCAGTCTGTATTTCCTGAAGGGTATCTACCTGGATGTCTTCAAGGCCTGAGTGAATAGGTTGCTTATGAGACGACGTGCTCCATCGTAGACCGCATCATCGCTTACCACCAGGCGAGATAGTGGTCAAACATCGACCCATCAAATTTAAAAAAAATATGGGTCTAATTCCTCTAAATAAAGAGGCTCTCTTGTTTATTTCAAGATACCAGATCACCTCACCTGCTTATTTAAGGAGGTCTCTATGGACACCCTCTGCTCCATCTAGGGAGAGATGGCTCCTCACCTCTGTATATTATTAATATTTAGGAAGTTCCGATAACATATTCGTAAGCTACAGTTATCGTGATTAACGCATTTATTCGGCTCATGGACTACGCGTGAATCACTGGAGATAATTAAACACGTTGCTTAAAGTGATGAAGTGATATATATTCAATGTGATCATGATGACAGGTAAAGGTGCTCCCTCACCGGGAGCATTTGCGTGTAATGTAACGTTACAGATCTGAGCATTACATCAGTGAAGGAGGAGAACCGAGCATTACAATGCGCACCTTGTAATGATACAATGTGTAATATCTTGATACAACTTGTAACATCAATGCGCTACACTTCCCCCAACCGGGGCCCGCCCGCTTCGTCTGACATCTTGCTATGAAATGCTCAAAGTCGAATCTATATGTTACATTACACGTAAATGCTTAGTCAGCGAGGTATTATTGTAATGTAATGCCCAAAGTCGAATCTATAGTTACATTACACGGGAATGCTCCCGGTGAGGGAGCACATAAAATGACAAAGTGAGTCGCCAGTTTGACTATCGAATGAGAGACTGATGTCGGGTGCGATTTCGTTCTACTCCCAGATCAGTACAAAGGATCATTATGTGTTAAAATATTGCAATGAAAGTAGAACGCAAACTAATTTATATTCTCGCCACTAGTGGCGCTGTCTTTATTTATATATCGAGTTATGTATTTATTTTTAATCTATGGTAGTGTACTGTACGCATCTTTGAATAACACTGTTTGATTGATCTCAGAAATAAACTTATTTGTAAACTGTTACACAGTTTTACTCTAGAACCACATTTTCCTTTATTCTGGCTATGCGGTTTCTATTAGAAAAAAATTTCAGTATATAGTAGCTTTGGGACTCGAACTGTGCTGTGTATAATAGACCCCTATTACATGGGACTTAAGACTCATAACGCAAATAATGAAAATTGGATGTTACGTCGTTTATGTGCACTTCAATCCTTTTTGTTTTGGAGCAGTTGGAAGGCAGAGGTGACACTTATTCAATACAAATCTTCTTTTTTACCAGGTTCGTCAGACATGACTTCTCCACTCAAAATGAGACTCTAACACACAAATAATACAGTTCCGTTTTACATTAACAGGTCTTTTGATGTAATTTAGCAAAGTCGAACATTCGACCTTCAAGATAGGATAGGTCGGAATCGCAACACTATCGATACAGAAGCGATCAGTCGGTCCCCAGTGCATCATATAATGTATTAATATTATTATATTAATGCGCCGCGTATCAACAAGTTTGGAGGACGAAAGGAGAACTGATAACAAGTGAACTTTATATCTTACGTTCTGGTATCGTGATCGAGATACTTGAACTGACGATTTTACGACGATTGTAATATACTCTTTGAGGTAATGTAAATATATAATAAAACTGTAAGACATTTTCAATAAATATGGTGATTAGCTAATATCTAAGTGTTTTACAAATAATTTTTCAGATTTTTATAAAACATCGTTATTTAAGAATGTTTTTCTTTTAGTTATTATGTTAAATGACTGTATTGTACAGTAACCAATAATATCTATGACTAGAATATTAATATTAGGTTAATTATATAAATGTTATAAGCGCCTGCCAAGAAAGTAACACAAAAAATAACTTTCGATAACATTATGCCGCGGTTTTTCAAAAGGCGCCACTAAACAAATGTGTGAATAAATATAAGGTGCTATAAGAAAATTAATAAATTATACCTATACTAAATTTGAATATATCACAAAATGGGATGTATACATGGGACTCATAACACAAATAGTGAAAACTGGGTGTTACATTGTAAGTACAGTGGCATTAAATACCGTAATGTACACCTGTCTCACCCTTCAGGAATAAAGGGCATGATGTTATAGAACTATAATTTGAGTACATATAATATAAAGTGAAACTTACCAAATACCAGTTTCTAAAACTAAATCGACAGTCTCGGGCAACTCTAACCGGAAACCTGGAACATAGATAACAAATAATTACCGCTCATGTAACATAAAACATTTCATTTTGAATTGAAATAATGGCGTCTCTTTTGAAAATGACATCACAATAGTAGGGGAGCCCACGATGCTAAATTGGGATTTACTTGAGCGTCCTTGGGACCTACTGGATTTTGAAGATATGCTGATAGAAAGAAGAAATGGTTTAGTAACAATTTCTTCCACCAGTGGGGGAAGGGGGAATCTACAGATCTTTGAAATTGTTAAGCGTAACTTTTGTTCTAATGGTCGAGCGTGTCAGATATTGATAATGTACATGCTCCATGTGTATTTAATAATAAAAAACTCTTAATCTGCCAGTTTGCATGGTGGGGTTGAATGTTCTGGAGAGTACAAACGAGAACCCTTCAAAATCCCCCCACTCTTGCAAATCAAGTTGGAATGGGCAGATTTTTTAAACGCACTTCCTTTAGCACGGTAGTGACCTACCTTCCCTTAATCTGACGAAACTGACTTTATTTAGTCAGACTTTTTTTTAATTTTCAGTCCCCCCCTTCTAATCAGATCGAATATATGTTGGGTATATTCAACATGACACTAGGTTTTCCCCATATGTTAATCTGACGCGCTCGAGTAACTACCGAAATCCCTTCATGGGCTCCCCTACTACAAGTGCTGCCAATAATTTCTTTAATTTAGACATCATACCTACATACAGACGATCATTTATAATCGTATAATAGGATAGATGACCAAATTTTATTTTAATGTCCATCTGGTAGATTGTTTTAAATTATTACACACGTATTTTTTATTTTCTTTCAGAAACGAATACTTTCGGTGATATATTGATTTGAAATGTCGCGTGACGTCACTTGTACATTTTATATACGTAGAAATGACGTCCCCACTCGTAAATTTTGATTCGTTATATCTAAGTATTGTTTTATTATACGACAAAATAAAAAAATACGTGGCTAATATTTTTTGATGGCTTGGCTCCGAAAAAATCGAATCCGAGTATGGGCTGACTTAAGTGGTAGGATACCTTGTATACCGATTAAATGCTCCCATGGGATAAAATAGGAATACGCGGGCAAAAGCCGCGGGTAAAAGGTAGTTTCTTATATTTGTAACTACTTAAATCTTAACCATTCTTTGCTTTTGCTTAACTAATGGATTAAACTCAGAATTTTGGTTTGTTAACGTTACTTTGTTTTGAAGTAAGTAGATCAATGTGAATATAATTTACACATTAAACTAAACCAGCTAGAAGCAACTGTTTGTCCTTACCATCAGTAATTATCCTCTGTATAATGCTGGCCATGTCTTTCACTTCTGCAGCGTAGAAGTTGTCTCCGCTGTATGGGCTTATTCCTAAATCTGTACGCTTTTTGTTAAGGCATTATTTCATGTTATATGATATTATTATAATTTCAAACAAAAACTGAAAGAACTCAAAGATAAATGTCACTCATCTGAATTTAAACATGAAAAATAAATCAAGGGCTGTCCGTAAATTAACAAAATAACTATTATAATTAAGTAGGTATTTATTTAAATTTCTGTGCAATGTATATGCATAAATAGTATAGAAAAATTATGTATAAAAATAATACAGCGCCTAAATTTTTTTTATAGCAAACCCACATATCTGCACATTGCAGAGAAAAATTGCTATAATTATTTTAAAAGATTGCTATTCTTATATTACAACTAGGCTATTGCTATTGTGTCAGCTTCAATTATGAGATTATAAGATGTACTGAACAGATATAATTATAGTCTTTTCTAATTTGTTAACGTCAAGGATAATGGTTGTTCCTGCAGTTACTTGACGAGATAAATATCAATTATTAATAATTGGACGTTTTTTTCCTAATCTATATATTCTATAACACGACGGAAGTTGTGATATTAAACGAAAAAGTAGTAGATATTATAGATTGACAAAATAATTGAAGTGTTTCAGCACTATCAGAGTGATGCCAGGGTCTACAGCAAACCCGGCGTGAAACCACGTTTGCGCTGCGTTTCGCCATATAAGTGAGGTTACCGGAGGCCCAATTACACCTTACTCAAGCTCCCCATCCCCAAATCCCTAACTCTTAATAGGCCGACAACGCACTTGTAATTCCCCTGGTGTTACGGGCGTCCATGGGCGATGCCGATTACTTACTATGAGGCGTGATACATCTGCCAGTTTGCCAGCTTATTCCACAAAAAATATACATAATTTAAAATAATTTAAAATAATTTCATTTGAAAAAGGATACAGTTGAGCATATCTAACAGTGAGCCGGGGTGGTCTGGCGGCGGTGGCGGTGGTGGCACCGCGCGCGCCCCGTTGACGGCACGCAGCGTATACGCGCGCACGTACTCCTTGCGGATGTCGTGGAAACGCGCGTAATACGTCGGTAGAGTGAGGTCCTTGCTGCAAGCTTCGGGGTGGAGACATTGTCTGGAAAATGGAGAAAATAAAAAATAAATCCTTTGTCCATTATAATGGATCAGTCAATTCGGCTAGCACTCGGTCTCTTCTGCGCATGGCAGAAGATAAAAAGAGATGAACACCTTTGATATTATGTTGTAGATCCCGTGTTTTAAATTGAACACAATTCTGAACTCTGATTGACTGCCTCATTGACCGAGTGGTAGCGAAAGCGACTGCCGGGTAAGGAGTCTCGGGTTCGATTCTCGGATCGGGCAAAATATTACTGAGTTATTTAATAAAACTCACACGGAGTCTGGAATTATGCCCGGTATATGGCAATAGGCTCATCCCCTATTACATGAGACTCGTAACATAAATTAAAAGTGGGTGTTACGTTGTACAGTGGCATTAAGTGCCGTAATGTACCTACACCTGATAAAAGGCCTGATGTTATGTTATGTTTATTCTGAACTATTTAATTTTAAGCGAGTTTTTTTACCCGACTGAAGGAAGGGTAATGTTCTTTACGTTAACGCGTGGTTGTGTTCCCGCGTTTACCCTCTGATTGGCTGGTTAATTTGAATTTGAATCAAAGCGCTTAACGTCATTATCGTGTCGATCTTATTAACATAAAAAATAACTCGCACTCGTAGGGGCATTCTACTTAAAAATCAAGATAGTATCAACCACAAATGTTCTTCTTTCTTCCATCAAAAATGCATAAATCATAACAATTCACACAAAAAAGAAATTCAAACTAGAAAAGAGATCACGAGTTCACCTCCATGTTTTAACAAAACATTATCAGTTATTCTCTATTCGAAAAGGTCCCTATTCAAAGAAAAACGACAGGAAACATTACAATCTATAGAAAAACTCGTCAAACGATCGAAATCAATGCAGATCAGCAAAAAGTCAACCTAATGCTAACGCCTTTATTTCTATGCAACCTTTGAAATGACGCTGATGATTGTCATCACAGATTGTAATCTAGGTAAAATTATGCTGATGGCGTGTCGAGTGTGACCTTTGATCTACGGCATCTATTACTGTCGTGTTTGGGGAAACGAAATTACGGTACGAATGAATGCTTCGGGCTTGTGTTTGTGTACATTGAGTTGGACGACACGTTATTATGAGAATTTTAATACCTCGTATATGAAGAACTCTTTTCATAACTTGGATGCCAACATGGGTATCTTTTAAACTCAGGATCGCTTTCTTAAACTTCAGATCGATGTATATTACGGCTGGACTCTTCGACGACTCTTTTTTAATTAAACTATCTAAAGAAGTAACGAATAAAATATCACGACTTAATAGCCGTATTACTATGTAACGTATAAGTGTGGGAGAGCCATGCTTCGGCACGGAGTGATACCACGGCCTCACTGAAAACCGACGTGAAGCAACGCTTGCATTGTGTTTCTTCGTGTGAGTGAGGTTACCGGAGGCCCAATTAGTTTTTGATAATTTTTAAGTCGTTTTTTTAAACGCAGTTTTTATTTTATTATGAGCAGTCATAACGGATGACAGTGTGCAATGGAAACAGTCCATAAAACAGTTGTTATGTTTACCGGATGTGCAGAGATTGGCATCAAGTTTGGGCCTTTGTAGTTTTTTCTTGTTACCCGACTGACTTGACCCAGTCTCAGATCTTTTGCTTAATGTAGAAACGGTTTTTTGTTATGCCCATGCATGGAGGTTATTTTGATTTCGAACCTGCATTTATAAATATGCAAAGATTTATTTTGTCAATTTTGTATAAAAGGATCTTTTTATGACTTATACTAACAATAGGCTCTCCCCCTATTACATGGGACTCATAACGTGAAAAGTGGGTGTTAGGTACATAGTACAGTGGCATAATGTGCACCTCTGTCTACCCCTTCGGGGATAAAAGGCGTGATGTTATGTTATGATCTTTTTATTAATGAAACTTTTGTGTTTGTGTTGATAAAATATAAGTACAACAGGCATCAGGTCAACGTATTATTTGATTAAACTCTATCATTTATGTATAAAGGCGAAAATCCAACGACAAAAATTTAGCTATTAAAGTAGGATGGTGTGTTGGCCACAGTAGATACACCCGGCCACACATATACAAAACCAGTTTATCCTGGTGTCGCGTCGCATCATCTTTCTGCACATTTAACGTTCAGTTTATACTGGTTATGTAAAGCTGGATGTGTAGCCGAGTGTACTTTATTTAACCATTTGGAATGGATTTATTTCGATGCTTATTATAGTGTGATATTCATCATTATTATTTTGTAAGAGGTCCCAAAGGTCCGTACGCATTAGTGATATTTAGTTTAGTCTGTTGCCATTGCCAGCTGGTGATAATTTGAATTACAATATCAAATATACGTTAACAAAGACATCAATTCGTAACCTAAGTATTTAAAGAAGTCGTCGACGTTTTAGAACTCTTCACAGTAGCGTTTGTCAAGCGAAGGCGTTCGATTAAAGTATGCGTCCCCCATACGGCACGCTGGCGTCGTCTGCGCGGCGTATACGTTTATTCAACGCCTACGCTAGACAAACGATACTGTGAAAAGGCTCATAGACTTTTCAAAAAAGAGTAGAATTTTCTCGTTGTGAAGTTCAAAAATCATTGCAATTATAAAAAAAAACTTTATAGGTAAAGAAATTCGGTTTATAATTCAGTTTATGGATGAAACTTACCTCAAAGGTGGTTGTCCATCTGTCACTAGCCTGAAGAGAGGTGAGTGAGGGTCCACTTGCAGCGATCTCACGAACTCATCGAACTGAAACGTAGAGATACAAAAATTAATCTTAAAATCATAGAATTAAAGTTGCTTTTTCAGGTAAAGAATCTTGATATTGAAGACATGAGGTGATTTTTTTTCAGGAATACAGAAGTTGCATAATTAGGAATGCCTATACTGAAAGAGGAATTATTGATTAATGATTTTGTTAGTTATAATAATCGTTTGGGACTAGCGTGACTTGGGAAACAAATTGTAGATCAATGATCAATTGTTGTCTCATTCAGTTCAATTATTGGAAGTTTTAATGTTCTTAATTTTATCTATAACCAGCTACTTCCGCGCGGTTTCACTCGCTCTGCTCGGCGCCTATTAATCGTAGCGTGATATTTTATAGCCTATAGCCTTCCTCGATAAATGGGCTATCCAACAAAGAAAGAATTTTTCAAATCGGACAAGTAATTTCGGAGATTAGCGCGTTCAAACAAATAAAAAAACAAACTCTTCAACTTTATAATATTAAGTATAGAGGTAGATAAAATGTACAAACAAATTAGCCTGTCAATTTGTTTAAATACATATTTAGCGTGTATCCAATGACCTACTGGCGGTGAGTCATTAAATTAATTTCAAAAATAATGTAGACAAACAAAATAAATTTTAGTAAATTGCTGGTTTGAAGCAGGCATTCCGTTTCTCCAAACTATACATACATAAAAGACAAAATTGAACTACAACTTTGAACAAAATGTTTCCTACTGTAAGTAGTTCAAAATGTTCACAGTATTTTGAAATACTGTAAAATAAATGGAGATTATATTTAGAAAATAACTGTAACTGCATTTTTAAATCAGATACATGTAGGTACGAAACATATTTCGCATACCTAAGAGTAAAGAAAGATAAAATAAGTAGACACGAAAGTTTCCTAAATAATAATAATAATAATAAATTTTATTGAAATCGGTAAAGTATAGTTAAAAGTCATAAAATAACTTAAGTACCTATTTAAAAGTAACAGTACAAAAATAAACCAATAAATTTCAAAATTAACAACTAAATCTTTAAATCCAGTAGTCACTAATTGGTTTAGTGGTTTTCGGTGTTGAGTGACAACTGTGGCCGGGCGTCGAACCCGGGAATGTACTGTTAGGAACAGGTTACACTGTACCTGTCGTGAGAGGTAAATACTGTTGCACTTCCGTGAATTTATGTTACAACGTACATACGTACCTACTTTTATATATATTTATATCAATAGGTAGATACTTTTACCAAGGACTTCACAGTCAAAACCTTTATTAGCTGTACCTCAATGCTTTGATAAAAGTACTTTATGTGATATTGCAGATTATAATCTATGCCTGTGGCAAGTTCCATCTAAACCCATCCAGTCGTTTCGGTGTGATTGATTAACATACACTCCAAATACTAATTTTGACTGCACGGTTGATGCGGTGGCTGGGCAACCGGCTGCCGTGCAACGTGTCGCGGGTTCGATTCCCGCACGGAACAACACTTTGTGTGATCCACAAATTGTTGTTTCGGGTCTGGGTGTCATTGTGTATGTGAACTTGTATGTTTGTAAACGCACCCACGACACAGGAGAAAATCCTAGTGTGGGGCAACGTTTTTTTTTAAAAAAAAATACCAACGGCTAATCCTTCTCATTTTAGCAAGCTTCTACAGTTCTGATATTCAATGAATAAGACAAAAACACAGACGTGAAGCAACGCTTGCGTTGTGTTTCGTCGTGTGAGTGAGGTTACCGGGGAGGCCCAATTACCCCCATCCCCAATCTCCCGAACCCCTGAATCCTCTACAATCCTTAAATTCCCAAAAGCCCGTAACGCACTTGCAACGCCTCTGGTGTTTCGGGTGTCCATAGGCGACGCCGATTGCTTACCATCAGGTGATACGTCTGCTCGTTTACCAGCTCATCTCATAAAAAAAACCTATGCTGGTGCATACTACAATGTATGTGTGTATTGTGTGTGTGTGAAACCAATGTCAATGCAATTTCAATCCAATAAAATCTCAATAATTATTCAATGTCAAAATTATACATCCCCTATCGTAGCTGTTAAAATAACATTCAGAGTACGGCGTATAATGCCAAAGTCAATACCGTTTAGTTCATTCGATATCCACGCAATACGGATGCAATGGGCGCTAGTGTTGCAACTCAAGAGTACGAAATTTCATAATACCAATGTCGATCGATCGGTATCGAATTCAGAATCGAATCATTCATCATCATCGAATTCATTCAATTAAGCCCCCAGGAGATCGGAAGAGGTTCCGATCTCCTGGGGGCTTACTCTTATTTCATTGAGAGATATCTTTTAAAAAAATCAAGAGGTCAGACTCGCGAACAAACTCATTTCCTAAATCTTTTGAGGAAGCCAAAAAGAGTACCGAGAGTATTTGACGCTATCTACTGCAACCGACCCCAATCACGTACTTATGTACGAAAAGCCGGATCTCTCTACGACGACAATTTTCACTTCAAACAACACATGACACTAGACTAGTAGGACTTATGTAAATCAGAATAAACGCACTTTTAAAAAAAAATCTTAGCCAGTAGTAGCACGAAGTCTGAAATTGTGCTCGGTATACATATATGGCAATAAGCTCACCCCCTATTACATGGGACTCATAACATAAATAGTGAAAAGTGGGTGCTACTTTGTTCAGTGCACCTCTACCTACCACTTCGGGGAAAGGCGTGACGTTATGCTAGCCTTTGTAATCTAAATTCGAATTTAAATCCATTTAAGGTAGTCCCTCAGTCGATTCTCATAGCACCTATGACCTATAGCCTTAACCATGTACCTAAATTCTACTCTAACTTCAAATACAAGAACAATTGGGTACGTTCCTTAATAAAAAAATAATTATTTCGACTGTTCAATACAATAAAATATTAAAAAATTCATTAATTGATTTTATGAGCAGCTTAATTTTAGTATTTTTCCAGCATATTTTTAACAAATAAGTCCGCTGTTTGACGCTAAAAAACGTGACGTCACAATACACAATCTCATACAAAATTCTTAAAAAAGTATTGAATTTCACTTCGAAAAAAGTATTGAATTTCACTAGTTGGCAAGTACCGAATTACATAAGCGATACATATACGTATACACACACAGTCTACAGTCCATCACAAACTAAATTAGAATTGAATCAATAACTTAGAGCACCTATTAGTTGCAATATAACACCTAAAATGGCGAATACAAGTTACGTCACCTATAGAAGAAATATGTATATTTTATGTGAATAATTAAAAGGAATCATTGACACTAAATTGAAATGTAAAACATCATTTAGAGTGCGTTGATCTCAACTGCCAATCTCGTTTTGTTACAAGCTGTTCGGCGGTAAGAAAGTCTCTTTCTTTAGAGATGAGATGGACGGTCGGTCGGTAACTAAGGGCAAAATTTTGACTCAGATCTTATAACTTCAAAGCTATCTAGTTTTATATCGAACCGGGAGTAGCTAGTTCTACTCAGTTTTATCGGCTGCTTGACTCCAATTCTTTAACATAAACATTTTTTAAATCGTATTGTTCCAGAGATTTAAACGTGTGCAAATAAACAAACGAACTCGTTTTATTAATAGTAAGTAGTATAGGTAGATTATATTTCTAGTGGCCAGGTCTACGATCGATAGGACATTCAGACTGATTTATTTTTTTATGGGGGAAAATCATCGAATGACTGCTGCCGCCTAGGTGAGGCGGGAGGGAGTATCAGACTCTTACTGAATAAAAACCACCCCGTTCCTTCTCCTGCACGTCGAGCCGGAGCCCCGGTAACCCGTTGGGTTCTCCGCGACTGACTGATTAGTATACGACCATCATAATGCTTCATAAGCTTTAAACATCTGACAACAGGTTTAAACCCAAAAATTTGTAGGTAATCATTGTCACCATATCACATAAAAACCCCAAACTAATCGGAAAAAGGATTATTTAGACGAACACGACTTTAAACGTCAGTGGCGCCATCTGATAAGAGCAAAAAATATTGTAGACTACTTGCTTGACCACAGTGCTTAACAGTTGAACTTGCAGTCATTCAACCAACGAAACAAATGATTAGCTAAACCTTAATAAAATTACCTAAAACAAGTTTAAAAACAACAATATCAGATCAATTCGATTCACATAATTTCAGTGTTACCATTTTTTAAATAAATACAGTTACAACTGCATAATAAACAGGTTATTTAAACGAAGGGCGAACTTGATAATCTGGACCAAGTCAGGTTAACTTCCTTACAACAAAACAAAGAAAAATCACCTGTATTCCAATTACGTAAGGTTCTAAATAAATAAACGATCGTACTTTAATCATAATAATAGCCTTTATTATAATGGCATAAGGTCGCTGTCAGTTTAATTTAAGCTTTGCACATTTTTGATCGTTAAAAACTGATCGATTTTTGAAATGACAGGTAGGGAGGCTTGTTTTCAAAGAGGTCTTGTCAATTTTGACGAAGTTGTTATACTTATTTTCTAACTACTTATTATAGTTTTTTTTCGAACGTAATAATGAATGGAAATTTCCCTAAATTTAAAGGAATCCCTAAGCTAAGATAGGTGACATTAAACGCCATTTTGGTTTTCAATCATGTAATTACTTCTCTCGCCTGGGTGAGGCGGGAGGGAGTGTCAGACTCTTACAGAACTTACAGACTAGAAACCGACGCCGATTGCTTTAAAAAAAGTACTTACGTATGGGTACTTAGAAGTACTAAGTACCCTTAGTCGCTTCGTACGATTCCATCAGGAAGAGTAGCGGTGGTGGTAAATGAAATCTCCTCTAAGGGCTTAGAACTTGGTTGACTAGTCTTGATTGGTTGACTCATTGGAGCCGGCCAATCAGAGCGCCGAACGCGGTCTCAGTTCGATTACTTTCGACGTAAAACAACTCGTACTAAGGCCTCTGCTGTCACCACATAATACAAATAAATAATAATATCTTCTATAAATATATTTACTTGGATTTGGATATCAATGACTAATT